TTCAGCATGATGGCTGCCCAGCGCACTATGCACTCTCAGTGAGAGAGTATTTCGATCAAAACTTTCCAGGCAGATGGATAGGGCGGTCTGGTACAATGCCGTGGCCAGCCCGGTCACCAGATTTGAATCCGTTAGATTTTTTTTACTGGGAAACTGTAAAAGAAAAGGTGTATTTCAAGCCGATTCAAAATGTAGCTGAGCTACGGCAAAGACTATAGGAAGCAGCTGGGTTTGTTAATAACCGTGTATTCGCTCGTTTAATAACCCGATCTTCTATAAGAAGATGTCGAGCGTGTATTGCGGCTGAAGGAAAACAGTTTGTGCGTTTTCATAATCGCTGTTTAATTAGAAAATTTTGAAAAGTTTTCATCAGTTTTTCTTCAAATAAAAATTGTGCATAAGTTAACGAGTAATCTTCTAAGTGTTATACCATTTTGGAATCCTTATTAAATGCGCCAACTTTTAAGGTTACTTGCCAAACTCTCGTGGTACATTTTTTTCCAGTACAGCCAGATAAAGGTGAACAAAGTTTTACTTTGGAATACTTGGTTGGGAAATAAGTGGCAATTTTTCCTGAACGAGAAAAGTTGGCAGTAAGGTTGAGACACCAGTTTGAAGATGCATTATTCATCATTACATTGTAAAAATAAAATCCAAAAAAGTTTATATTTGTAGTAACAGGAGTTGACAGACTGCCGTAGAGTGTGAAATTTCTATATTTTTGTCAAAGACCTATAATTTTCAAAACACATACATAAAATTTTTTTAAATATTTTTCTGATAGCTGTTATGACTTTGCCTATCACCCGGTTTCGGCTTGACGTCGACTTCTGGGACACCCTGTATACTAACTTGTAGCGTACCGTCGCGTCGAAGAGGCCTAATCTTGAAATTTTTGGAATTTGAATCACGTTTGAAGTGTTGAAGTGTCAACTTGTCTAACACGTACGACACGGAATAATAGAACATGAAATAATAATAATAATAATAATAATAATAATAATAATAAAGCATTTATTGCCCAACAATACAGGTACCATTTAGAGAGCAATACATAGTACAATGGTTTAATTTACAGTCTGTGTGCCATAAAGTGAAACAAAAAAAAACACACAGAAAAGAGCAAGGCGCTTTAAGTAGAGAGAAAAGAAACTATAAATATGATTAATAGATAATAGGAAACCCGAATATACTTGTATGTACAAACAAAACCTCTAGAGAAAGGCGTAAAAAAATCAAAGCTGTGACCGTATAGCACTTCGTAATTCCTGAAATCCACAACAGAAGATATCACAAAAACTCACAATCCCATACGCATTATTGCACATAAAGTTTATTGGTGCTTTAGATAGAAGATTTGTCTGCGCCCTCTTGCAGAAAAAGGAAACTTTATATTTAGATGTCAATCTAGGTACCAGGGAATTAATTTGCGATAGCAAAACATGACAGTCGATGTTACCATGTAGTAATTTGTATAAAAATATGATGGGCGCCTGCTCTCTGCGCTTCTAGAAAGAAGGGACGCCAAATCTATTCAATAATAGTGAGTAGTCATATCCTCTTGGAGGATAGACACCATCACTCCTATAGCATAGATATTTTAGAAATTTTTGTTGCACTTTTTCAACATTATTTTTGTTCAGTTCATAGATAGGGCTCCAAATAATTGCACCGTATTCTAATTTACTTATAACAAGCACTGAAAATAACTTAATAAGCGTTGTGTTATTGAAATTTCTACAATTTCTGATAATAAAGCCATATTTGCGATACGCATTACTTATAATCTCACTGATGTGGTAGTTAAAAGTGAGCTGACAATCGAAATAGACGCCCAAATCTTTGAAAGTTTCACACCTTTCCAATACAGAATCTTTTATTTTGTATGGGTAAGTTAAAAATTTGGCTTTCCGGATGAAGGTCAAAATGCGGCATTTAGAATTGTTCAAATACAAATAGTTATTAACACACCATGTTTGTAAAAAAAGTAGTTGTTATTGGAGGTTTTCACAATCCTGCCAGCTAAAAACCCATGTGTAAAGCTTCAGATTATCAGCAAACATAAGCTTCTTGCATGATAATGTGCTGCAAAGATCGTTAACGTATAAGGCAAACAATGAAATGAGGAGTGTAAGCAACTGATGACATCGCCATCTAGCGTGTGGTGTATGATAGCTTTACTTATGCCCATTTCTGTGCAATTAACCTTTACCTACTGAGGTCGTTCTTTTAATTATGGTGGGCGACATTTATCCAACGGTCTTTCAGTGTAGGCCAGAGGCGTAGCGGCCATGTATCAAGCTTTGGTGAAGTGTTTGTAGGTAACAGTTGCTAGTGTTGCCACCTCTGTGCGCACAAACGTACCGAGTTTTTCAGTAGTCCATAGCCATTTGTTTGCTCTCCGCTTATCTGTCTTCACCCGACTAGACCTATATCGCACAGATGATTGCTAAAAAGCAAGAACCAGCATTGTATGAGCTTGGTCATGTCACAGGAACGGAAATCAGCTTTAGTTTAGCCCGTAACTATTTATGAAGTTTTGTATAGTATGTCATTGCTGGTAGCCTTGATAATATACTAAGTGACATAAAAATCCGAACACCCAGTTTAAATGGTTTTAGTTCAATAAAATTTTGTATAAGTACTTAATGAAGCATAATAAGTGAATGATAAAAATTTCAAAATGATTGCACTGCTTTAAAGCCCTTTGACCTTTAATACTGTGTGGATGCACCCTGATGTGCTACGCATTCTCCAACGCGCCTAGGCATGCTTCTGATCAGGTGGTCAATGTCCTCCTGTGGTATCTCATTCCAGGCAACCACCAACTCCTGTCGAAGTGCTTCTAGAGTCTGAGGAGGACGTTGCAAATTGAGCAATCTCCTACCCATCATATACCACACGTGCTCAATTGGGGATAAGTCGGGAGATCTTGGTGGCCATGGTAAAAATGTGACATCATTATGTTGAAAGAAGTCTATTGTGACTCTTGCAACATGTGGTCGGGCATTATCTTGTTGGAAAGTTGGATCTGCCAGGGTGTCAAGATAGGGTAAAAGATGGGGTTCTAGAACTTCGTGGATATAACGCTGCGCGTTCATGTTACCTCTGATGAAGATTAAAGGTGACCTGGAACCATAAGCTATAGCACCCCAAACCATAACTCCAACAGTGTGATGAACATGTCTTTCAACAAAAAACTGTGGATTCCTCCTTTCACCACGTCGCCTTCTAACCCTGGCACGACCATCGTGCATGCCTAAACAAAATCGAGACTCGTCACTAAAGACAATACTGTTCCATTCCTGATCCCAGAGTGACCGTTGTCTGCACCACTCAAGGCGATTACGTCGGTGTTCTCGAGTTAAAGGGAGGACCCAGTGTGGCCGGTATGAAAACAAGCCAAAACTTCTCATTCGTCGGTAAACACTTCGCATGCCAATAGGTCTTCCGTGTTCTGCAAACCATTCATTTGCAATGGACCTGGTAGTGGAGAAACGGTCCTTTAAGGCCAATAATCTTAGGCGGCGATCTTCACGGTCTGTTGTTCTACGGCGGCGTCCAGTGCCCCTTGCTCTTTGCGTACGGCCTTCTCGAAGCCATGCCTGACAACACCTAACCACAGTGTCTACACTTCTTTGCACTCTAACTGCAATTGCCCGAAAAGAAAGTCCAGCTTCCCGAAGTCCCACTATACGGCCCCTATCAAACTCACTAAGTTGACGAAATCGTACAGGTCTCCGTACTCTAGGCATCGTAACCGATCGTAAAGGATGTCAAGAACCAAAATCCGCCAACGTTGATTCTTTACTGCGGCTGAAATATTCATTTTTAGAGCGTTAGTGAATTAAAAAAAGCAGTATAAAAACCGGAATGTCTAACTGATAAGGCTGAAAATTTTTTCACTTGTTATTTACAGTAAGATAAATACATTCAAAAACTTTTATTAAAATAAAACCATTTAAACTGGGTGTTCGGATTTATATGTCACTTAGTATATCTCGTTTTGCGGCTGATCGACGGGTCGGCCTTTTAATAATGATGGTAGTAATATCCTTATTCAGAAAATGATCACAGTATCACAAAGTTTAGCCATGGCTCCTCTACCACTCATACTACAAGCAGACATCACAAAACATGGGGATAACATAACACTATGAATCAGATAACTGTAAGAAGTTCATTAAAAAGGCGTAACTACAAAAATAGAACTGACCGATTATAAACAAGCTATCATTCGGAAAATTGAATTTATCACTGTGTGCTGAGCTCAGAAAGTGCAACTTAACTGTCATAATGATGGTGGGCGACATCTATCCGTTCATAGAACGGTAACTGTCATTCAGTGTAGGCAAGAGGCGAATGGGCCTTCTGTCATTTTTAGCGTACATGCTGAATATGTATGAAGCTTTTGCGAACTGTGTGAGGTGGCAGTTATCCGTGATGTGACCTCTTTGCATGAGAATTTTCCCTATCCAAACGAAACTAAGGGAGTAGTAACTGGAACCATTCGATAGCTACAGAAGAAAAAACAAAATTCCTCCCTACATCGCTGTAATTTTAAAAAACATCGTCGCTTTTTTGAATTTAGGTGTTCATGGAATGACTACATCTGTAGTTTCATTAGGGCCAGTAAAACAGAAAGAGTGCTTAGGTATTCAGTTTAGCATATAAAACGTCCCATAGGAAATTAGTATCAGCTCAGTTATTTTGGAGAATATTTGTGATGTGGCGTAAAACTGATGATATGTCTAGTATGACAACGTTGTCTGAGGATTAATCATGATGCATATTCACTTATATAGCGATGAAAAAAGTTTTAATACCCTTTATCTCCGCAAGTGACAATTATTATCGGACCTATTTTCATAAGAACGCCCCGAGTTCCTTTTCAATCTACTTTTCGCCTTGTAAATATTGCCATTGTTTTTTCAATTACTCTGTAAGCCTCATGAGGGCCGACTACCAGCTTTAATATATTTACAATAACTTTGTTCCAGAGAGCCGAACTAGCAGTCTGCGACCTAACTATAACTTATGAAAGGAAAACTGCAGTTGACTTCACAGTTCCATTTATGACATTGGGTAAAACCTTTTTTCTGTTGTTATATCCATTAGTATCTGATTTTTTTTTGTAGGAGTAAGCATCCTTTACTCAAAAGCCGTAAAGGAACCTCCAGAGTTGCTGTCATTTAGTCATCCCTTGTCACTTGATGTATGGCTGTACATGTTCACAGCGTATTTACTAATTTCTATCACTATATTCTTAGTAGCAAGGTGAATATTCATATGTTGGATTAAACACTGACAAGCAAAACCGATGAATGTGTGAAGGAAATTATCAAGCGAAAATATAAGATTTTATTTAATTTACGTGAGCATAGTTTAAAACAATTTTTGTATAGGAACCGAAAACCTCTATGATCTTCTTACAATCCAGATTGCTTTAAGTCTCAACACAGACAACAAAAGGGCCTATACAGGGTATTTCAAATTCGACACTCACCATTGGGATCTAGGAAACCATAAGAGATACGAAGTCGATAAAATGGGGGCAAAGTTGCGTATTTAGGTAATCAATAAAATGCCTCTTAGAAGGCTCCGAAATTCGAAGTATGTACTTCCGGAGAGAGACGAAAAAACCGAACTTACCCAAATTCGTTATAATTTTCTCCTAACTTCATTTGTAGAGGGATTTTACAGTAAATTGCACATGATCATTGCCAGTTTTTTTTCTCTACAAGATGGCATGATCAGAATTTCAATAGGGTGTTTCGTCTCTTGTCCTCCAACATCAACTTTATTTTTCCTCATGGATGCTATATAGGATTTTTACACAGATGAATAGAGCTTTTAATTAGGAATCCAAAAAAGTAAATACGTCATACATTGGCATTGCCAAACCTTAGTTTTTTCAATAAAAGCAGAATTTCCTAGGTATGCCTTGAAATTATCGGAGTCATTTGTTTTGCACAACAGTTTTATCCCAAAATCGCTTTTATTTTTCCTGGATTTACTTGAGATGCGATTCCAAAATAAACTGCATGTTAACATTGCCACTTTTTCTTTTCTACAAGATGGCATAACTACATGATCAAAAAAATAGAGTAGATAATGCAGTACCATCGTATGTCACCAAATCCACGAGTTCAAAGCGCGCACGCAGCGAAAGAAAGCGGCTCACCGCACCTGCCCCCTCTCCGGCATCTGGCCTACAAACACTCATTTTCTTCAAAGCAAAATTGTTGCAACAATTGGGTGAAACATAGAGAGCGAGGGAGCTATTTACTTCGACGAGGACTTCACATAATTAAGATCGAACACCACTTACAGGTAAGTTCGTTTGTTCATGTAATTATATTCCGTCCTCGTCAAAGTAAATTGAATAGAATGTTCAAAGCGAGTTGCAACAACCTACTACTTACGCTCTGTACTAGTAAAAGGTAGCTTGTACACAACTACACAAATTGTACGCAATGTATGTGTCAACTAAATGTATGTACATTTCCATTGTATCAACTCAAGGTGTGGAGACTTGGTTCACCTCAAATGCCGCTTGAGCAAAGCTATTGTTTGGCATAAGAGATTTGTGAAGTGTCTCAGAAAACACGCTCCAGCCCGCCGCGAGTCTAAAAGCTACTACACACAAGCCGCCGGGTTTATGCCGAGCGGCAATAGAAGCCGCCGGCACAAGCCGCCAAGCATCATTCCGGTTGTGACAGTCACATAGAACGGTAGTGAAGTGCAACACACAAACCGCACAACACTACCTCTCGAATGCCAGGAACGAAGTGACGCCGGCAAGCCGCGTAACCCGCCGGCACACCCCGGCGGCTCCTTTGCGCGGCAAGGCCGGCGGCTTTGTATGCCGCCGGGTGCACGGAGGCTTAGCCGCCGGCACTGTGTGTAGCAGCCTTTAGCTTTCTATAATTTAGCCGGCGCAGAGGTATACGCGTTTCATGTATTGTGGGCTGTCAATTGTGACACACCTAGACTACTCTCTGCTAAAAAGCACTTTATCCATGTATACTTTATCTGAAGTCACTTGAAATAGCATAAAAACCTTTGGTCGGCACGTCCTTTGTAATTTCATGACGTATCATAGGCGTGCGGTCATTTATTTAGAACGATAATAATAATGTTTTTATATCACAATAAATGGATTTTACTATCTTCTTATTTTTTTGATTTGGGATAAAAAATACTTATATTGGGAGTTTAATTTATGTTGACTGAAAGTTAAGAAATGGAAAAATTACAGAATTCCAACGTTTGACATAGGCAAATATTTACATAGCAGGTAGGTATATAAAAAGGTATATAAAGACTTACATTATAGGTATTTATATATCATCCTCGCCTTCGGAGCTGTCGCTAGAGTCATCTTGTAGAGGAATTACAACGGGATTTACAGGAGGCAAAACACAATATTCATTTTCTTTTTCAATAATATGCCTAGAACACTGCTTCCATAGGTCTGTGGCAGCAATATGAGATACTGCATCTCTTATTGTGGCCAATAGCGATTCACTTAATTGAGGGGTCTGATTATGTTTTCTTACTTTTTTTTTAAAGCAGTCCAGACCATCTCAATCGGGTTAAAAATGCAGTAATAGGGAGGTAGACGTAATACTTCATGGCCATTTTGCTGAAGCAGATTGTCAACAACATACTCTTTTTCAAATTTTTGTCTTTTAATAAGATCCAATAATATGGCTTTGGTTGATTTTTGTGGTATTTCCATTCCCTTATCCTTCATAAAATCAATAATGTCTTGTTTTTTTGTGCCTGTATTCGGAATTTTGTTTTTCTGTCGGGAATGGTATGGCGCATTGTCCATAATAATCACTGAATTTGGGGAAATGTTTGGTATTAACTGCTGCTCTATTCACTTTTCAAATAAGTCGGAGGTCATGTCCTCATGATAGTCGGCACATGATTCTTTGATATTTTTGGCAGATAACAGCAAGGCATTAGGTATAAATCCATTTTCACTGCCAGCATGGAGAATAATGATTCGTTTTCCACGGTTGCATGGTGCATTTAAAATGCACTTGTTGCTGTCGTCAACCCAGCCGTACTGCACAACATCATGGGTATCATACCACGTTTCATCCAGGTAAATCAGATTTCTTTTCTGCTCTCTACAGATTTTAACTTTGTGCAAAAATTCTTGGCGCAATTCAACGATTCGAGACGACTCCACAATCACCATTCTTTTATCTAATTTTTTGTATTGAAAACCACACAGTTTTACAATACAGTGCAGTGAGTCTAAGCATTTGTAATTATAAAAATCTTCAGGATAATCTTTTAATTTATCTCGTATCATTTCCAACGTGGGCACCAAATTTTCTTTATAAAATCCGTATATTATATGACGAATATCTTCCTGAAAACCCACGTCTATTCTTTTTAATTTTTGCCCTATGCGCTTTCTGTGGAAGGAATGGTTGACTACATCTCCCCTTTTTATAACCCGATAAATGGTAGACCGACTGATTTTTGTCAGGATACAAATTCTGTTTAAAATTTGATTTTGCGAGGAATCTGGATTTTCGTTTTTCAGACAATCATACATATTTAGGATTACTCTTTGGGTCTGTTCCTCTAAATCTTTATGAAAGAATTCTGCCTGCACAGGTTCATCAACCATCTCCTCGTGGCTTGGAGCATTTTCCCAAGGTCTCCAAAGAGCCATATTTAGGACACACAAGAACACACAACACAACAATTAAATCAACAAGTAAACTGAGTATTCAAAAGTCAAAAACACACAAACTAATAAAATCTATGAAAAAATACGGACAGACTAAAGAAAACACATTTATTCACCGCTACACGGCACTGGCTAAACTGTTTCAATTTTCAGTAGCCACCTGCACTTGTTCGGAGCTCTGAAATACACGCTTTCTTATTGGCTATGATCACGCATAGGCGTGCTTTACTCCACGTGGACCAGTGAAACTGCCTTTGATCTTATACAGGGGATATTTGCTGCGAAATTTGGCGATTTTTGCAGCAACAGAGCGTGTTAAATATAGATATATAAAACGCACCCGGTATTTCACAGTGTTTCAAATGACTTCAGATAAAGTATACATTAGTGGGAACAGAGGTACCATGATAAAGTCACTTTACAGTAACAAATAAATACTATGGCTGCACAGATATTTTTGCGTAAAATACGGTAAAACTAACAGTGGTTGCCACATGAGTGGCTCCAAAAACTGAGAAATCCCAATTTCAATATTATTCAACCCGATCCTGATGTTGTCTGCTTCAATTAGGGGCAAAGTTTACACACTCTGACCTGAAGCTAGGGCTAGCAGTGTTGCTGATTTCCTCATCCGAAGTCACCAGCCACCCCTTTGGTTGATTGAGAACAACCACAGTATCTCAAGTGGGGCTTCGGTTGAGATGACCTCAGCCTGTAAATGCCCTTCAAAAACCATCTTTTGCCTGCATCGATAGTAGCATTTTGTTTAAAAGACTGATAGATAGATATATCTTAATCTCTTATCACACTGTAAGGTGCGAAATTTCAAGGTAGAAAAACAGACATTTATCTCGTCCCGACAAAGGTCCTACCGTAATGTAAGCCCATAATAATATGATGGAGTATAGATACTGATCGGAATGACGGCTTTCCAGTGACGACAGCCAGGATAAGCTTCACGATTAGTGGAAGCGGGGTCCTAGGTCCCTCCATCAGATATTTGCGTTACTTTTAGAAGCGAAATTTCAGGGACACCGAACATATGAACCAAAATCAGGAAGGTGACAGATGTAGCTCCCTCTCCGTTTCCACGTTCCACTGAAGCAAGTTTCGGACTCTTCCTTAGTTGCTGTCCATTATTGCCATTACAAGGTTTAGTAATGTCTGCTTCGTCCGCTCAAGTAAAGATACTTTCTTTCTGTTGCAACTGAATACTGAACCTAAAAGTGTCTAATTCTGACTGGAGGTTAACCAGCTTTTTTCTTTTTTTATAATTGATTAAAAGAAAAGGGGGGGGGGTAACTGTTGCTCGGATATTATTCGGGCAATCTCTATCAGTATAACCGAGCAGAAGGAAATACAGACAGAATAATTTTTTTTCCTTAAGGTATGCTAGAAATTGTTTTATAAACTTTGTGAACAGACAAGGGGCACAATTTACCCTAAACGGCACAGCATTGTATTGGAAGAGCTGTGCGTAGAATATGAATCTGAAATATATTCCTTGACTCCCACTAATGGGTACCAAAATCTCTACATATTCCAAATCCAGACTGATTTCTGTTTAGAATTGAATTGCTTGGTTATGAGTTCTTTCATTAAATGTGAATATCTGCTAGCATGCGTCTATCCACCAGTCTTTGAACTTAGAGGAGAGAGCATTGCCACTTGCAGAAAATGAACAACTCATACGTTGCTGTACAGAGGCCGTAGCGCATCGTGGTGATGCATCATCTATTGAAACAGAATACGTGGCCTTTAAGACATCACAATCCAGAGCGCCCTGTTCAAGTGCCACCTATACAAAATGTAACGTTAAACGTTCGTAATGGTACCTAATCTCCGTTATTACTGAAAATTACTACTTTGGTGGTTTCCTAACCGGTCATGTTCATGTGTACATTCCTGTTCCATGGTTATCACCAACCAGGTGGAATTTGCTATTACAAGCAAAATGTAACGCTAACCTCGCATAAAGCACCTATTCTGTATCTGGTAATAAAGAAAAAATATACCTTGACGATTTCCTAACCTGCAATGTTCAAACTCATAGTCCTGTTCCATGGTTATCACAAACCAGGTGAAATTTGCTATCACAAGCAGATTAGAAGAGATTGCTGAAAAAATGTGTTGCTTCGTTGTCCCAAATACTTTCAGTGTTGTTATTTTTCGTAGGATCTCAGCCAATACAAGCTAAGTACAAGTTACCATCACAAGCAACGGAGTTAAGTGTTGAGTCGCTATCCCAAGCGTCTTCATTCGCCATTGGGTTGGAGCTGACTATCACAAGCTAGGTCTATGTTGCTATCCCAAGCAACCGAGTCCAATGCTTCCACGTTATCCCAAACGCCTTCTTTCGTCCAGGGTGTGGGGCTGACTATCCCAAGCCAGGTCCACGTTGCTATCCCAAGCAACCGAGGCCAATGTTTCAGGGTTGTCTCAAGCGCCTTTGTTCGTCCTTGGAGTTGGCTATCACAAGCTAGGTCCAGGCTGCTATTCCAGGCAACAGTATCAGAACGTTATTCCAAACGTGTACGGCACAGTCTGCAGCGCAACCATACTAACATTCACCTAACTTGCAGCTAGAACAGATCGGTTAGTCCACAATTACGTGATGGTGACGCCCCTCCAGAAAAAGAGGCCTGCACGACACTTTCTAATTCTACTCCGCGGCGAAAAGAACTTTGAAGGCGACCGTCTGTCGGCATCTCGAAGACAATGCACATTTGGCCAACCGTCGGTCCACTTATATAATATTTATGCTCAGTTCGTTTCCTCCGTTTAGGCACCTCGCCACTTCTGAAAACGTAAAAATTGGTGCGCGGACCCGATTGACATGTTATCCGTTTGGCACAAGAACAAGGAATGAGAGTTTGTAGGCCCGAGGCCGGAGAGGGGGCAGGTGCGGTGAGCCGCTTTCCTTCGCTGCGTGCGCTCTTTGAGCTCGTGGGTTTGGTGAGATACGGGGGTACTACATTATCTATTCTATTTACTTCGACGAGTACGGAACATAAGGCGTATTGGATTTTGCGCAGATGAATAAAGCTTTTATTTCTGATTCCAAAAATGTATAATTTGGCATACATTGACATTGCCAAGCCTTAGTTATTTCAGAAAAACAGAACAGGCCTTGAAATTATTAGATTTCTTGTGTCTCGTATACCAGACCAGACCTCAACGTAGCAACAGCGGTTGGAAGACTGAGCAGAAGAGAAATAAATCGAACAGTTAACAATGTACAGAGAAGAGTCAGGCTTTGCCTACAAAATAACGGTCAACATTTTCAGCATCTGCTATGATTTACCTCTGCTTATTTATGACTATTATTGTTATTACCATCAATAAAATTTTCATTTTGTGTTCAGGTTTCAGCATACCTCTTTATTTCTTTAATTGTTATCCAACAACAAATGCATGCCCAACTCTCAAACACCATCTCAAATAAAGCCAGGAAAAAATAAAAGTGATTTTGGGATAAATCTGGAATGCGAAACAAATGACTCTGTGATCATTTCAAGGCCTACACTAAGAAATCCTGATTTTTCTGAAATACTTAAGGTTTGGCAATGTCGATGAATAACGTATCATACATTTTTGAAATCATAAATTAAAGCTTTATTCATTTATGCAAAAATCCAATATGGCGCCCATAAGAAAAAATAAAGTTGATGTTAGAGGAAAAGAGATGAAAGATCATATTGAAATTCTAATTATCCCGTTTTGTAGAGAAGAAAAGGTAGCGATGTTACATGCAATTTATTTTAAGATCCCACTACAAATAATGTCAGAAAAAAATTAAACGGTTTTGGGAAAATTTGGTTATTTCCGTTCCTCTCCGAAAGTACTTTGAATTTCTGAACGGCATTTAAGCGACTTCGTTTTTCTTACAGTTCCCGAGATCCTAATAGTGAGGGTCAAATTTAAAATACCCTGTATAATACAAGGTAATATTCCTTGGGCAGTTTCAGTGATATTGAGAAATTAAGAAACGTTCCTAATGCCTCATTCTGAAGTTTAAACATTTGCCAAGCTGTGAGAAAAAAATTTGGATATTTCATTTTAAGAAAATAAGGTTGCTGGTTGCAGATAAAAATATGACTTTTCATTTTTTCTACAGTTTGAATTGAGTGAGTTTAGATTTGTTCACTTCAGAGGCTTATTATGTCTAATTGCAATGTTTAACCGTAATTGCACGTACAGGGTGGCCAACTAAGAATACCAGCCTCTACGATGGATTGGTTTCTAGATACAGTACCTCACATCCTTAATTGGCACCCTGTACATTGGATGAGTTCCTGGATCTGTTGTACTACAGCACCTATCGATGGTTGCTTTAGTGGTAACCTTAAGGTGGCACGTCCCTTTTTTGGATTTTTTTTAACTTCCTGTTTGCAGCAGTATTCTAAATCCTTTTTATCTGATAATTTCATGGTGGGTATAGAGATTACTAAATAACAATGTTTTTATGGAGGAATGAAACCAGTGATTACTTTTGTTCTTATCACTTTTCCTTTTCTAAAAATCCTTGCTTTTCTTGAAAACCCAACTTGCTGCGAGACGAGGCTTCAAGAAAATGAAAGATTTTTCGAAAAGGAAAAGTGATAAGAACGAAAGTAATAACTCGTTACATTCTTCCACAACTTCAGAGCTGTACTTATATTTGTTAACAAGTTCCGATTAAAGAAAGAACGCACGAAAAATACATTTTTTGACAAAAAAAAATGAAATAATTGTTTCTTAGTCATCTCTATACACATCATGAAATTATCGGATTTAGAATACTGCTGCAAACAGGAAGTTGAAAAGAAACCTAAAAAAAGGGACGTGCCACCTTATACGTTTGATTTGATAGACTAAATCCAAATGACTGGGAAAACCCACACCCCTGTAACCCAAACCCTGAAACATTGGAGAACATCTGGAGTATAAGAAATTGTTGTTGGTTGACCCTAGGCTCCTTTATGGCACAAGGTTGTGATATCCTGCCAAAGTAAGTCCCCTTTATACCGCCTCCCCTAATGTTTTCTAAAACAATATTTTAATGATACATATTGTGATGTAACGTATGAATAATTGTTAGCTTGAAATCTAGCTCATCTTTAGAGAAAGAAGCCAATCATTTTGCGTGCCATCTTCCAGCGTTCCTCACATATGGTACCTATACTGTACTTAGGAAAATCACCACTTTATAAGATGAGTGCCCATGTAATATTCAACTTCAGTTAAAACGAACATATATCGATTTAGAAGCACGACTACTAGAAATTACACTATAGATATTAAAGGTTTTTGAGGTGATTTATGTAAAGCGCCCTGAAAGTAAGCACGCAGAATTTTTAGCCTTTCCTCTACATGGAATTCCTGAAAGTATGTATTAATTGTTGTTTATTGTGAAATAATTATTATATTTAACGAAATGAAGTAAAGATGATAAGTATGGGATTATGAACTAAAAAAAGGTGAAATGTATGACATTTGCACATTCCAGGGGGATTTCGACTAGACTAGTGGCGGCAATGTGGTGGTTCTTTGTGCTTATAATGATAGCCTGCTATACAGCCAACATGACAGCTTTTCTTACAATGGAGCGAATGGGACCTACTATCGAAAGTGCTGAGGATCTAGCTGCTCAAAATAAAATCAAATACGGTTGTGTAAAAGGTAATTTCAATGGCGTAATATGTGCCAGAGTTCGGAGAGTAATATATCTTCCAGGAATATAATTAAGTGAAGGCATATAAGTGGCTACAAAGCTTCTGTTCACAAGAACTTTTATCACAAAAATACGCCACAATTTTCTTCAAAAGTCGTGCATTCAAGTTTTTTGTCCCTCTCATAATTGTATAACATTCGGACTGTATGGAAAAATGGCTTATGGTAACGGTATCAAAACTCTACGTGTTTAGCTGGTCACTTGCTTGGCAAAATAATTAAGTCATATTAAAGCTCTATCCGCATCATTCTCAATGTGTTTAGGTAATACCAGGTAGTAGTGGATTAAGATAGCCATCGTTCGGTTTACATAAATTGCCATACCGTGGCATGTGACCAAAGTTTTGGTATAGCTGAAATCCTAGTTGTTGTTTTATTGTACTATTAGGGCCGTATCGTCAGTGGTTTCTACAATTGCAGCACGCCTTTATAGTCTTCTACTCTTCCGTGTCAGCGCTTTATTTTGAGGTTATGTCACAAATATCTTTTTCCATCAAACTGTCCCTGCTTTTGAATCATATAATCTGTTTTATCAGCCTGAAATTTCCTACAATTAAAAAAGAAAACAACATCACAATAGGATAACGCTGACGGTGACACGGAAGAGGTGAAATCTAGAAATCCCTCACCTTTCTAAAGGAGAGAAAAGACTGTCAATCAAGAAGGCCATAAAGGCGTCATACAATTATTGTAGGAACGATTGACGATACAGCCCTGAGCTAATGTTTATGGATATTTTTATTGTCTTGTACGACTTTTTATAAAATTTTTTTAAGGTGGTTCAACCGCATCATTTTTCAAAGATACCAACTTCTCTACCTATCACCGTATGTGGGTTCAGATGGAATCCGCAGAGCCAAGCGTATTTGAAACAAGCAATAAAGATGGGGTAAAGAGGGTCTTGACTAGCAAGAGAAAATATGCTTTCCTAATGGAAAGCTCCAATATCGAATACGAAATGGAAAGGAACTGCGATTTAATACAAGTGGGGAATAACCTGGACTCCAAGGGTTATGGAATTGCCATGAGAACAAGTGAGTTGGTATAAGGTAACTAGTTAAATACGGTCAACTTAAGGTTTCTTATCCTTTTTTATAATGTTAAAGATAAAAAACAAATCATAGAAGTTGCCCATGGAGATCGGCTATATAACTTCATAATAAAAAGCAAAACAATACAAAGACATTAAATGTTAAAAAGTATTTTCAACAGCTTAAAAAGAATTGAAGATTGGCGATATTTCCGGCGGGGCCCATATACGAGTATGTGACCATATTTACGTTATAAATATATTTTTTTATTTTTATTACAAGATTACTTAATATTGTGACTAAAATTCTCTTAGTAGAAGATGTAGCAGGCTTTTTGTTGAAGAATCCTAAAATAACTACCGTAAATTTACCTTTTTACTTCCTACGCCACTGGCGAAAATGAGCTATTTTGTTGTTACATGACATGTAAATTACGAAAAACCATGCCACTCATTTCCGTCGGTCTGTGTATCAATCCGCTAATCCTTGACCTCGCTATAACTTTGAAGATTGCTACTATTCTAAGGATGAAAAATCGGTCCAGTGGCGCTGCAGCTAGAGGCACAAAAAATAAACAACTAAAAATTGCTCAAACTACGTTTTTTGAGGTCTTATGGCGTCCTGGTCATTTTGGAAAATTCCTTACGGGTAAAAATTTGAGGGGTGGGGAGGGTAGCCGTGGTAGTTCTGCACACCTGTTAGAAATATTTCACTCATCATCGATTTCCCCGTACACTTATCTTAAAACTTGGAATGATGAAGTAATATGTCCGATCCTCGCGTGTCGATCATACGCTTTGAGGTCCTGTGACTGGGTATGCACCGCCGATCGTCATCTACACCAGATGTAGGTATTCATAGTTTCGATCATGTGCACCCGCAGGAATTTTTCTCAGCGGGAAGGGGGAGGGCCACCCATCGGTAAGATATAGCTTTGTGTGAAAGCGTACTTGCATCCAAAACTTTTTGAAGAGCGAGGGGTAGCGAATATTCCCAGGGATCCAAATTCTGAAGAGCCCCAAAATTGTACAGAAAAAACGCTAAATATGAAAATTTTGATTGTAAGGTTATTTAACGACCTTTCTCTCTTTTAATTTTTTTGTTATACATGTAAGTAGCCAACATTCCTTTCAGAGGGGTCAACTTGTGCTGAACATAATCTTTTACCCATACAGCACAATAGTTTTCAGAAATATTTAAGAATATTTAAGATAGAAGTTCGTAAAACTGTTGGTTTTTCTGGTGTGAAAATTTTGAGTTTTGTGCCAGTACGAGTATAAAAATTCGCGAGTCCAGTGAAGTTGTTCTTTAGCAGTTGGTTGCATGCTGTGAGACATTATTCTCAATCATTGTTCTTATTCTATTGATACAGACAGTCATCGTTTTTTGCTGATCATTCCACAATATTGTTTCCCCCTAGCAGCTGAATTGGAATATGGAGTTTGAGTAATCGAGGAGCTGAACGACAGGAACACGCATAGTAAAAATATTATAATTTTTGGCTTGACCAAAAGTGACTAGTCTGAATCTCCTCAAGACCGATTGGAGGTAGACAAAGTGGAAGTTACCAGAATATTAAAGGTAATCGATCCAGGATGTCAAGTCACCAACTATTAGACTTGGACGTTTTGCTAAGAACAAGCTGAGGCCGGTTAAAATTATGCTGGAAGATGATAGTCATGTGTATAGTCTTATAAAGAAGGCCAAGAACTTAAAAAGCAGCTCCTACAAAAAATGTCAATCTCATTTGACAGAACTCCAAGGCAGAATGGATACCTGAAGAAATTACAGGAAGAATTGAGGTCATGAAACTCTGGAGAAACGGCGCAATACAGAATAAAACACGTAAACGGTAATCCGAAAACTATGAAATCAGAAAACTAGATTGTTCCAACGGTGCTTCTCAATTATATTGCTATTACCAAAACGTTCGAGGCCTAAATAATAAGATTGATGAAGTTCAGTCAACTATCAGTGATAGTGAGTTTCAGTTGGTTGCGTTAAGTTAAACATGGTTGTGTGATAGTGTTCGTAGCTCTGAGATATTTCCTGGATGTTATAAGATACATCATAAAGACCGTAAGTTTGATCATCTTCAGAAAGTCAGTGGGGTTCTTCTAGCCGTTAGGCAGGAAATTGCGTCTGAGGTTTTATATATGTCACCATTTGACTTGGCTTTTCCGAATATAGACTTACTAGCTGTAAAATGTATCACACATCATAAGCAGTTTTTTGTTGCTGTGGTTTATATACCAGACGAAATAACTGGCAAAGAGTTTGAGCGGTTTTTTGAGTGTCTTGAGCAGCTAGATTATTTGGATTGTGGTAGTACGATATTTTTTGGCGATTTTAACATTCCATTTTTCAACTCATCGTGTAACAATATTAAACTATATTGACTTACTTGGCATGAATCAATACAATAATGTTGAAAATAATTTGAGAAGATTATTGGATTTGGTATTATCACATTTTAATTGTACAGTTGTTGTTCATGATGAACATCCAATTGTCGCTGGAGATAACCACCATCCTGCTCTTACCATCGAATTTTCTGATGTACTTGTTAAGCAGTTTAATTTTAAATACAACTCTAATTGTAAGACATATAATTTCAGAAAAGCAAATTTTGCAGCTTTAAATAAGGAAGTATACGAGACAAATCGGGACTTCCTTACATGCTGTGTTGATGTGAATTCTGCTATTGAGCTGTGTATAATAAAATTTATGAGCTATTTTATAAGCATGTACTACTGTACAGAAATTACAGTCATAGATATCCGCAATGGTTTGATGCAGAAACAATGCAAAATTTAGAAATAAATATAAAAAATTTGTAAATAATTCTGACAACTAGCAAGATCTAAAACAACACAGGCTTACAGTTGATATATTGATGACACACAGGAGTCATTACTCATTAACCCAAAAGTTTTGGAACTTTGCTCATTCCAGAAACATAATAACCAGGCCATATAACGATAATGAACTGCGTAAGCCTCAAGTCATAGTGACTGTTTTTATAGAATATTTTTAGAGTGTGTACTCTAATGCTACTTCCAACACCAAAGGTAAGCGTCCTACCAATAGGAGCTCATTTGTTCATTTTACTCCTATCCAGGAATCTGAAGTTCTGTATGCGATTAAGAAACTGAAGAACAAAATGACATCTAGTCAGGACAATATACCATCATTTTTAATCAAGGATACCGCCTCAGCGATAGTTACAACTTGTGCTTAAAAACCAATACTTTTCCATATATGTGGAAAATACCGAAAGTATGTCATGTGTATAAGAGTGGTGACAAAAATAATATTACTAATTATAGGCTTGTGTCAATTGTTTCTATGTTTGCAAATATCTTTGAGATAATTTTGCATCGCCGCATTTATTCGGAAATTGAGAATCAGCTCTCGTTTTATCAGCACGGATTCACTGCCAAAAGATCTGTTATCACTAATTTACTAATAGTTACTCAATACATATCAGAAGCTCTTGATGATAGTAGCCAGATAGACGTAATATACTGAGTGACAAGAAAGGTACGTTTATTAGAATTCAAGGATTTTTTATATATCGATTTATCTTGCCATGAACAACAAATGATAAAATGGTCAGGTTGTTCTGTTAAGTTTTTGTGGTGGCTGCATGTATTGTTTGGTGATAAAGAATCATTCAGTTTTCGTACATTTATGGTGTCAGTTAAATGTTAAATTTTGTGTAGCTTATTGAGAAGTCTTTTTGTGATTGCTCAAAATGCCTAGAGTGCGTAGAATTCGCCGGGTGTCCAAGCTAAGTGACTTTGGAAGGGGTCGCATTGTCAGGTTGCGTGAAGCCGGTCTATTGATAAGAGAAGTTTCTAGGAGGACCAACAGATCTTTACGTAGTATACTGCAGTGTGATCGAGCGTGGACTCACGAAGGCCGAGGACAGGGAGGGAGGGGTTCTGGACACCTCAGAGGGACCACAGAGCGTCAAGACCGCCGGTTCAGACTTCTGGCTCTGAGAGACAGATTCAGTAGTACTCGAGCCATCACTAATCAGTGGTTTGAAGAGCATGGAAGGATAGTTGGTATGCGTAAGGTATATCGCCGAACACGACAGCTTGGCCTTTTTTCTTATCGCCCACATTGGGTGCTCCCTCTCACGGCTGAACACCGTTTGCTCTGGTGTAGTGAAAGAATTCTATGCGACCGGGAATGGAATCAGGTGGTCTTTAGTGACGAATCTCGCTTTTGTCTGGGGATTCAGGATGGTCGGGCAAGAGTGAGAAAGCGACGTGGTGAAAGACTTGACCCACAATTTGACAGAGAGCGTCATGTTCACCACACCGTGGGAGTTATGGTACGGGGTGCTATTGCTCATGGTAGCAGGTCACCACTAATTTCCATCAGAGGCAATATGACAGCCCGTCGCTATAATCAGGAACTAGTGGAGCCTCGGCTTATTCCATACCTAAACACCATCCAAAACCCGATTTTTCGGCAAGACAATGCCAGACCGCATGTCGCCAGAGCATCGTTAGCCTTCATGGATCAACATCGCATAAACCGTTTACCTTGGCCACCACGATCGCCTGACCTATGTCCGATTGAACATGTCTGCGACATGATAGGTCGCAGGCTCCTGAATTTGCAACACCCTCCACATACTTTAGCAGCTCTTACTTACGAAGTTGCAGTAGCCTGGAATGAGATACCCCAACAGGATATCAACCACCTTATAAGCGCGATGCTCACGCGTGTCATTGAGTGTATAAGAAATCGTGGATCCTCAACACATTATTGAACCAGCTTCTGCAGTCAGTTGACGAATCAAGCTGAAAATTTGATCACTTTACTAGTAAGGTACACTGAACATATTAGCCAAAAATTATTAAAATCGGATAAACGTACGTAGGTGTTTACCTTTTTTTGTCACTCAGTATATTATACGGATTTCGCTAAAGTTTTTGATAAAATTGATCATAGCGGTTTGGTTGACAAATTAATAGATTTTGGATTTTCTGTTGAGACTATGAAGTTCATCATACTCTTAACAGATAGGCAACAATTTGTCTCGTAGAATGGGGTTAGGTCGGAAGCATATGGAGCTATATCTGGTATCCGCAGGGATCAAACTTGGGACCGTTACTTTTTCTAATATTTATAAATGATTTATTGGATGCTTTAACAGTAGAAACACTTGGTTTTGCTGATGATTTAAAATTATATCGTACAATATCTAACGTCACTGATTGCTTGGAACTTTAACTAAATGTGTGTCTTTTTCGGAACATATTGAGAAAACTGTATATGAAACATTAAGAGCATATGGGTTTTGATAAGGAATTTGAGAAGTTTTGAAAATATTAGCACTATTAAAATACTTTACTTCACTTACACTAGATCGAAACTTGAATATGCCAGCATTACTTGAAATCCATATTATGAGATGTATAAAATTTGTTGAACGGGTTCAGCGACAATTTCTTAAATTTCTGGCCTTTAAAGTTGACCGCGTTTATCCTGAAAGGGGAATCAATAATTATGAATTATGTAGTAGATTTTAAATACCCAGTTTAGACCATAGAATACACTTTACGGCGGCGTTGTTTTTATTGAAATTGCGGCATGGATATGTTGACTGTTCTGATGTTCAGGGGCAAATTGGTCTTGCTGTGCCGCCATATTCTTCTCGGCATACAGCCAAGATTAATATGTTATTTAAATATCCAGTCTATATTGTGTGTGATAAATTAAACTGTATCTCCAGCCGTTGTGATATATTTTCCTGCACACTGAATGAGTTTATCAGAACAGCAAAGAGCTTATGCAACTAATTTTGAATTCCTGTTTTTTGTTCAATTATCTGCATCTCAGTTTATGGTACTATTATATTATAATTATTTCTTTAGTTATTACATTATATTGTCTTATTAACGCATAATAACACATAAGGACATGTAATTTAATTGTTATATTATCCTGTAAGTGAGAAACCGTTGGATAATAAAGCCATTATTATTATTATTATTATTATTTTACTAATCGAAATATTTCAAAATTGGAAATCCGCAAGCAAAATTGTTGCCTCTTGCATATGTTCTTTCATCTTTTTGGATCACCCGACTTCCTAACGACCATCACATATAACATCTATTATAGCTACCCTTGAACCGTCAAAGAGCAAAGTTGCTGTACCTTAGAAGATAACTTTCAATAAGGCGACGTTCGAAAGTATCGTTATCAATATAATACCCTAAACACACATGTCATTCAAAAAAGTCTGTATTCTTTTTAAGTAAATAATCAGAAGTGCAACATCAATGATGTTGATTTAAAGGCCGCACTCATCGCAGTGACGTCACAGCTCATAGTTTGTCAGTTTATTCTGTGTTTGGCCAATTTGCTGTCAAGATTTGAACGGTTTTATTTTTTGCGCGCTTCGCAGTGACGCTACAGCTCGATGTTTGGTTAATTTGCTGCCTTGATTTGCCGTCGAGTTTTGAAAGGTTATGCACACAAAGACTAGAGCTGCTTTCCATTGCTTTTGAATTTTTGAATTGAGAGTTGTGGCGTTCCCAAACCGCTGTGCACGGAAACGCCACGACAAAAACCTAACCTGTCTTTTGATGTTTTGCTTTGATATTGGTAGTTTGTGATCACGCTACCAGAAAATATTCTTTAGTGTTGATTAGAACTCTAAACTCTTCAATTTTTATGGGTCTAGCTTGTAAATGATGAGGATTGAGTTTGTCGCACATAGTTCTAACGATGAAAATGTCAAACAGAATTATTTGTCTTTATTTTCAGAATCTTTGTTGGACTATACAATTGATACCTAATGATGGTTTTAGAATGATGGCGCAACACGTGAGAGGTCCGAATTTTCATTGTAATGCTTCTGTGTAAATGAGTCGAATTCAAGTTTTAGATTAAGCTAAATACGAGCTGCTATGAACTTGCCATCTTGCGCTCTCTTGTGATCTTCATCATTCAGAATCATCTCAAATGTATGTTGTAACTCTGGGTCATACATTATCAGTATTTTACCATCCTCCATTGTCTGGTATCGGTTTAATGTTAGTTTAATGCAAAAAAGAAAAAACGGTGAAAAATCATAACCTAACAATCTTGACGCATTAGTTCAGGTCCACGAGACTTTAGAGCAGTGGAACGGTATTGCCAGATGTTAGGCAGTACCGAGTTACTCCAAGTAACACCAATGGGACAATGGAAAGCGGCTTGGAGAATCCTGTCAAAAACCCGCGCAGAACCTGAATTTCATTTCCTGCGTTGTGTACTTATGAGTTAGTCGTCCAAACTTCTGGCTTCACCTCCACTCTATAATCAAATCCAAGCGAATAACCACAATTTCTGTGTTATGTGCTGCGGTTATAATATGGTTCAAGATGACACACGGGTTGATGACGTCAGTTACACGAATCGCTTGAACGCGTTGGTTTTAACCGCGGTTTTGTTGCAAGTTGTTTATTTTAGAAAAGCGCGTATATAATCTCTGATTATTTTTATTATCACTTAATAATCGGTGCTTTTTCGTCTACAACTGTATATGGAAAGTTTAAATAAGAAACCTTTCATAATATTCATGGGAGAAATATTTTTTTCAGATTTTTTTTAATGATGGAACCATGGCTTTGTAGCTATGATACCTTTCAATTCTCTCAATTTTTCCGCATGTCAAAGAAAACATTTATTGATTCAGCAGAAATGATGAAAAAAGAAAATAGCAAAACCGTATACAGGTGGATATCATCTAGTGAGTTTATATGACCATATTTTAATATTCTTGTGGTATATGGCTACACAGGATACTTTGTTAAGCATAGGAACTACATTTAAAGTGTCCCCAACAACCGTAATGAGTATAACTAATAAGGTGCTCCACTTTATGGTAAAACTGAAGTCAGCCTGTATCATTTTTCTCAAAAATGAAGCTGAAGTACAATAACAATATCCAATACCCGGCAAAATTCTAACTTGTCACATTTCAAATAATAACTAGAAATATAAAACTACTCTTGAGTTGGGTAAATACCACAATTTTGCGGTGATAACTATGACATACAACAGCTGATTCGTGACGTCACGGATCTTATAACCAAACTGATAACTACACTCGCTTGAACGGATTGGTAAATACCAACCCAAAATGGTAAATACCATTTCCATTTGGTTATCCGCTTGAAATTGATTTATGAGTTTAATTTTCTGTCTCTAGTCTTCATGGTTCTGTGTTGACACCATTGTTGAAAAAGGGGCGTAATTTATTCCAGTTGCGCATTCCGCGTCAAGCTAGTGCTCTTTTGGGCTGATCAAAGTGATAGGTTGACAATCAATGACAGCGACAAAGGATGGGCTGCTTCACTGAGCCGGTATCGTGACGTCACAGCAATAGTGTTGCGTTTCGCAATTTTAAATCTGTCCCATATTTATTAATGAATACTCGTAATTTTATAGCGCATAACTATAAAATAATTTTGAAGGTTCTTTAGCAATATAGACTGTAAATAAAAAATATTCAACAGATATTTGAATCACACGCATATTCTCTATTGTTTGAGGATACAAAATCTGTTTACCTCCACCTTGCTACGCCTCTGGTAAACAGTCCTCCCAAACAGATATCTAATTAGGCGTTCATGTAGAAATAATGAAAAATTTAATTACTGAATAAATATACATTTTAGATGCTCCTTACCGAAAGTCTTTCAATGAAGCGATACTGAAAATGCAAGAAATGGGTGTTTTGGTTAGATTGAAAGATAAGTGGTGGAAAGAAATGCATGGCGGTGGTCAATGTACTGTAAGTACACCATTATATCTACTTATCCTACCTTGATAACTCTTAGAAGTGGCTCTGCTTTTGTACTTCACACAGTTACTTTTTTCATAATTAAGTATAATTAAAATGTTTTCATTTGTTTTGTTGATCCCAGAATTAGTATAATTATAATCGTTTCATCCTACAGTATAGATTTCCAATGACAATTCGCCAATTAAAAATAGCTCCATATTATAATATTATTTTTGCTCTCAACGTCTTGGCTGTGAATCTATCTTTTGGTTGTGTCAGTGTAAACTTGATCTGCGTCATTTGACTTAAATAATATACATGATTAAAACATTAATTTACTATAGCACACACTATTCGTCATTGTCTGTCAGAGCGGTCCGTAGGACCTTTGCTCTTGGTTGAAGTCTCGTAAGTCAGTAGGTCTGTCAATTTACTATAGCTTGTATAAAATCGAGTTTTTGGTATGCTCGAAGAAATGCAACTTAAAATATTAGTTGGAATAGCGCACTATATCACATATCCGTATTATGGCCTGTTAGTCATATGCCTCGTATTTTGACAAATCTGGCCCATTTTTCCAGAAAGATAAACATTCAGAAGATGCAACTGCCACTGAGCTTGGTTTGGACCATGTGGGAGGAGTATTTGTAGTTCTAGCGGTTGGAGTATGCTTGGCGATGCTTATAGCGATTTGTGAGTTCCTGTGGAATGTTAGGAAAGTGACGGTAACTGAAAAGGTATGATCAAAATCACCTTCACACTATCCTATTTTAGTTGTTCATTATCATATTTAATAACATGTTAACACAAGCACTTTTTAGTTCCACAAAAATTTCGCATGTATGGGTGGAAACTTTTTTTTAGACCATGGTGAAAGTATAAACAAAAAATATCTAACACGCATTCACCATAAATTAAAATTATGTTACAATTCGTCTAATTGCAGGTGGCTCCAAAAGAGGCATTCATGAGGGAGCTTCACTTTGCACTAAATATTTGGGCAAGAAAGAAGGCTGTGTTGAATAGTGCATCCAGATCTCCTTCTGCATTACCGGCTGAGAGATTATCGAACAAGTCGAGATAATATGAAGCTGAGTTGAAAAATAAAGAGTTCAAACATACATATATTAGTGTATCACTTCTTGATTCAGTCTATTTTATTATGCTGTTTTCATCCTTCATATGATATTGTGCTAGCCATAACGCACTCAGGCTGCTCGCAAAAAACAAAAAATATGTAGTAATCTTTGGAATATATGAACTTAGCAAGTACACCCGACGGCAAAGTCTGAGTTGAGAACTAGCCAGGATTCCCAGAATCTGAATAAGCTTAAATCAGTCATTTCATCAACATCCTGGAACGAGGTTGGTCTAGCAGAAAAAATGGCGATGTCATGGAGGAAAGCCCAAAGGATAAACTCAAACACGTAATGGAATTCAAGCTAGGCTATAGTATATAGTAAGGAGGTTGAACAATGAAAAGTGTTTACCAGGTCTTAAGACATAGCTGGAACCAAAACCAATTGCTGATACTATGAGCAAATGAGAAAGAGTACAACGGATACTTCTCGGCTAAGAGGAAGTTCTATCGCTACCCATTTGTCAAAGGATGCTTAGGAAACCCTTAATCCTTCGTAACATCAAGAGCAACGTGGCGCTTATAACAGTTTTTTTGAGTCACTATTAAACTATCCCTTGTAGTACGGTTTGTACCTTAAGCGTAGTTTTTCTACCACAGAATCGCTCTCTCAATTTCCTCAATTTCTCTGTGATGGATTTATTAATCTGGATCGCAATTTGTGCATTAGGTTGATGATCTATGACCTGATGCAGTTGTCCAGCGACGTCAGCACAAATAAAGGTTTACCTCTTCGGCATGCAGCTTTGTATGCTAGTTTTTAGCTCCAAATTTATGCTACGCGTCCTCACAATTTTTACAGAACCTGACGTACTTCACTTGCAATTCCCATAAGTGCAGTGACTTGTTAAGAAACTGATTATGGGCCTCACGGTCCTCCTGCTACACTTTTTAGATATTTCGTGGCTTCTTTTCTTTTATTCGTCTTTGGACTCTTTGGTTGGCTTTTCCAATACTTCAGGTATCCCCTGCTAGTCCATTCTTTTACAGAGTACCCACGTCAATTGGTTTTTCCGAAGGTATAGCTCTAGGGTTATTAGAATCTTGGTCCAGTGAGTTTGTCCACTTCTTCGTTACATTTGTGCCAGTTATGAGTCCATACCGGACATGCATGTCTTGTACCAGCTATATCAAAAAAGTTATTTATTCAGTGTTGGTGTCCTTGAACAGTATTGTATTTTTATCAGTTTAACAAGTTGAGTTAGTTCAGTCTTGTACTCCTGCTTGTAACAATCACTTGTCTCCAAAATAAAACTTTTTTAAAAAGTAACTTTCCGGTTTCGGGAATTTAACTGGCGCTGCGAACTGGATTAACTGCACGGTATCCCCGAGGATCATCGGCTCGTGTCAACGACTTGGCAGTTCACGACAGGAGACCAAAGTGTACCACAGACTTGAGGAGAATAGCAGACCAAATGGATATGAAAAGCATCTTGGTACGTCTTATCCTGTAAGTCCCTTTCCATATTCTACCTATGAGTTCTGAGTGTCCACAAGATTCATTGCAAGCAGTTATTTTAAGTAATAGTCGAAAAAATTCAAAGGAACAGTCTCGTTTCAAACCGTACACTGTTCCAAACCTTGAAAATCTCTTCACTGAACAATCGAGTAGCTCTACTCCAACCCTAGAAAACATTCCTGAGACTCCAATCATAGAAAACATTACTGAGACTCCAATCATGGTACTATCTAATTCAGATATTAATAACTGGTGCAATACTTTGCCAGAATACAATGCTGGTGAAAATCTTTCATCTTTTGTAAATTCGGTAGACAATTTAGTTAATTTCTTTTCACGACGAGGTGCGGACGCTATTCAAAAATATATCATTAATGCTAATATACTGCCTAAGGTTAAGGGCGAGGCTCGTGATTTTCTGAACCTCCATAATAAAACAACCTGGGCTGAAATTAAGCCGCTGTTACTCCAGAAGTATGGTGACCATCGCACCGAAGAAATTTTATTGACTAAACTACTGTTCAGAAACGTTCTGAGTCGTATCAAGACTATCATCACCGCATTACTTTAGCTCTTAATGATATTTTACAGCATGTTTCTCTACACGAAAATAATTCAGAAGCAGTTCAGTTCAAAGCTACATTCTTTATAAATCAAGCACTAAGAAGTTTCTGTACTGGTATAAATAATCCATACTGTGATCATCTCTCTCATTACGATTTATCTTCGCTAGATAAAGCTCTCCAAAAATGTATTGCTTTATATAACCATAAGCAACAACAGCAATACATGTCTTATTTGAAATCTTCTACTTATCCTAGTGAATATCAAAGGACCCCTTCACGTCCCAACCAATCTCGAAACGTACAAGCATCTTCTCTGAATCCTCCTAGAAATTCACAAAACCATTTTCAACAGTATCGTTCACAAAATCAGACATTCACCCCTAACAGAAATTTTGGGGATATAAATAGGCCCATACCCCAACGACAAAATCCTCCTACTAATAGGGAAGTGTTTGGACCTCCTCCTCGTCAAAATAATTTCCAAAACAATAATCAATTCAGACCCACTCCTATGTCCGTGCAAAGTAATAATCATAGGCCAACCGCCCTATGTCTACTACCACTCATATCAGCCGCTCTTTCCATCACAACGTAGAATGTGAACCAAATTCTGTCGAATATTCAAATGAACTTCTCAATCAAGAATATTATAGTATGATGATTACGAAAATCAGCAAGAATTTACCGAAAATTTTCAAGAACAAGCCATCCAACAGCCCCCCAGATATAGAACCATCCAATTAAATAATTTTACGAAGCATACTAAGCTTCCATATTTTTACCTGCCCCATTCAAATCTAAAAGTTTTGATTGATTCCGGTGGATCGGGCACCGTTATAACTCCTAGAGCAGCAAAAATGTATGATTCACAACATGAATTCTATGAACCATTTACTCTTATTTACATGAAAACTACAAAAACGTATACTAGAAACCTGTATTACCCTATATTTCAAGAAATTGGTATTAATCAACCTCTCATAGCTAGGATTGCCGACTGGCATGATGATTTTGATATCCTTCTTGGTAAAGGCGAACTTGATCAGTTAGGTGCTAATATTGATTATGAATCTCATATTTTCTCAGTCAGAAAATCAGCTATACAAATCCCTTTCGAAATTGTTTATCGTATCAGTAATCGTTTGTCTATCCCTGTATCTGTGAACAATGGTGAAATAGTTGTCCCTGAAATCATTTATAAAGGTCACGTTATTTTACCAGAATCCATACATAATGCTAGAGATGGATATATCGAAATCCCTAAGCCACAAAATATTGATATTGATTTTTCGAAACCTATTTCTGTTCGTTCCTTGTCAGATTTTGAGGAGAAAACTCCCCAAAAACTGTCTAATTGTTATTTCAAAAGTGACATGATTAGAACCCAACACTTGAATTCTGAAGATTCTTCGTCTATGTCATAAATTTAAAGATATCTTCCACACTGAAAATTCTATGCTCACTTGTAAATACAAGCTCAGTTCAACATGTTATTCGTACTAAGGATGATAAACCTATTTTTTCTCGTTCCTATCGATATCCTAGAGCTATGCTTCCTGAAATAACTTCCCAAATTAACAAACTCCTTGAAAATAAAATTATACGTCCGTCAATATCTCCTTACTCAGCTCCTTGCTGGATCGTTGAAAATAAGCCAGATGCTTCAGGAAAGAAAAAAATACGTATGGTAATAGATTACCGAAAATTAAATGAAAATACCATTGACGACAAGTACCCGACGAAATTCTAGACAATCTTGGTCGATGCACTTATTTCACGACTCTTGACCTAGCCCAAGGTTTCCATCAAATTAAAGTTCACCCCAATTCTGGAGAAAAAACTGCCTTCACAGTTCCGTATGGTCATTTCGAATATTTGAAAATGCCAATGGGAATCCGAAATGCCCCTGCCACATTCCAACGAATGATGGATGAAGTCCTTCGAGATCACATCTATAAATTTTGTTTTGTTTACATGGATGATATTATATTCTCTAGATCTCTTCAAGAACACCTTATTCATATTAAACAAATTTTCCAAAGATTCCGTGAAGTAAATTTAAAAGTACAACTTGACAAATCTGAATTTTTATGCAAAGAAGTCGCTTTCCTTGGTCATGTTGTTACCCCAGAGGGTATAAAACCCAATCCTAATAAGATTCATGCTATCGAAAATTATCCCATTCCAAAGACGCAGAAAGAACTTCAAACTTTTCTCGGCCTGGTAGGTTACTACCGACGTTTTATTCATAACTTTTCCAAAATTGTTGTCCCCATGTACTAGAAAAGGTGAAAAAATAGACATAAATAATCCGCCGTATATAGAAGCGTTCGAAAAATGTACAAGTGCTCTCACAAACTCCCCTATACTTCAATATCCAGATTTTTCACAACCCTTCACCCTCACAACAGACGCTTCAGGCGTCTCTATAGGCTCGTATTTAAGCCAAAATGGCAAGCCAATTGCTTATTACTCTTGTACTCTCAATTGTTCAGAAAGAAATGATTCAACTATAGAAAGAGAACTTCTTGCAATTTTAGACTCCTGCAGGCACTTCCGTCATTATCTTTATGGTATTCACTTTACTGTCGAAACTGATCACAATCCAATTGTCTGGATTCAAAAACTTAAAGAGCCCCATTCCCGTTTATCTCGTTGGAAACTCAAGTTACAAGATTATAATTTCGATATAAAATACAAAAAAGGCAAAGATAATGTCGTTGCCGATGCCCTTTCCCGTATCGAAATTAATATGCACGAAACTGAATCTATCATTGCCAATCCTCCTTCAGACTCCTGAGATGTCGAATTTGATGTTGACAAATTTGTCAATCAAACCTTAGAAAATCAAACTGGTCAATCCACCCAACATTCAGCAGTGGAACATCCCGTTGCTACCGTCCCATTTTCAGAAGAACCTATACACTATTTTACTAATCAAATTATCATGAAATTCGGAGATGAGTACTTCCCTCAAATATTCTTCAAAATTCAAGTCTAAGCATCAACATTTTGTTACCCTCACCGAAAAGAGTTGGAAAAACGAAGTCAAACAGTCACTTC